GAGAACCTGCGTCCTGCCCTCTCAGCTACGGCACCTGCTAAGCCTGGGAGACAGGGTGAGCAGTTCCCACACTGCGGTCTATCCCAGGCTCGCCAGGCGCTACAACCGTCTGCTGCCCCGTATATTGGATCCTGCTCCACTGCTTCTTTACCAGCCCCCGGTGACTCTGAGGGACACCAGCACCGAGAACCTCAGAAACCAAGGCCACACAGGCAGGAAGCCACCAAGCCAGCCTTCAAACCCAGCCGGCCACCTGGCTGCAGACTGGGCACGCTCTGCAGGGCAGCGGAGGGGAACGACCTGGCCACAGAACCCACAACCGGGCCTCGGGGATCTGCAGGCGCCCCTCCCTGGCTCCCGGGACCAGCCTCTACTCCCACCCCTCCCCACAGAAGGCTCAGCCCTCACACGGAGTCGGGGGTCACAAAGCAGGAGAAAAGCCCCGAAGGGAAACCCTGTGATAATCCATCAGGGTTGTTGGGTACCTCCTGCAGGGCAGGCAGCTGTAATTCATGTAAAGCTCACAACTCCCAGGAGCAGAAGCTAATATCATCCCCACCTTACAGATGAGCACACTGAGCTAGGAAGGCCCTTGTTTCCCTGAGCCCCAGGCTGGAGCCCCTGGGGTGCACTGAAGCTCACCCTCGGGCAAGTGGCTTGGCCTCCTGGCCTGTCTCCTCCTGGGGTTGTCGAGGATCAATTAAGAGACTCTGGGGGACTTCCCTGGTGGTTAAGACTCTGCGCTTCCAATGCAGGGGATGCAGGTTCTATCCCTGGCTGGGGAACTAAGATCCCACATGCTGTGCAGCACGGCCAAAAAAAAAAGACCCTGCACAGGGCCTGGCACACTGGGAGTGCTCGTTGACCAGCAGCAGCTGAGCTGCCCTCTGACCACTTATAGGTGGGGAAACGGAAGTTGAGCAAGGAGGAGGATTTGTCCAAGGTCGCAGAGCGAAGGGCAGGTTGGGGCTGGAACCCAGGGTGCAGGTGAGACCTGCCCTGAGGGTCGGGCAGGGGGAAGAGCAAGCAGGTGCTCAGATGGGAGACTGGCAGATGTGCCACCTCCCACATCTGCTCTTTTCTGTAAATGAGCCTCTGCTAAGATTTTGTTTCAAGTCACTGATCTGGCCCGTACTGCCTTGCTTCTGACTCCAGCTTCAATCCGCTCCTGATTTCTTTCCCTTCCTCTTGCTGCCTCGACCTATGCCACCCCTTCCCCTACCAGCTCACCCCGAGAAGGGGCTGTGTCATGTCTGGGGCACCTCAGGAGAGACGAGCAGGCAAGGACTTGACTGGGGGCTTCCAAGGGTAGGGCTGAGCTTTCACCCTCATCCAGTGGCCTCGGCTGGGGAGGGTGGGCAGCTGCTCTGGGCTGGGCAGGGCTGAACGTGGAGGGTTCTGAGGGATTCCAGGCATTGGCCGGTCCCTGGGAGCCTTCTCACCAAGCTCCCAGTGCCCTCTGCTCACATGCCTCTACACAGTGGGTGCTCACTGTTTTGTGGAGTGGCTTCTAACAGCTCATCATCACATTGAGCCCAACTGTGGCTCCCATTCATCCTGTTTCTGCCCCTGGAGACTTAGAATACGATACCACCTCCCTCAACGGAGACTGGATACCTCTATTACTATGGCCTGGGTTTCTCAGCAGCCACCCTGCTGCCGACCAAGAAAGGTTCACCATCGGCTAATGGTGCTAGTGGTGGGAGTATAGAGGGGATGCCAGGTACCAGGGATAAGAGAATACCACAGATAAAGAGACTCACAAGGACCCTCCCTCTGCTACAGCCAGATGCTATCCATAAGCCATCACTGATCTCCAGGCCTGCAGGCTGGGTGGTATCATCCCACTTCCTGGAGGAGGCAGCTGAGGCCCACAGAGATCAGACCTTGCCCAAGGTCTCCCAGCCAGGCAAGCTGGCTCAGAATCTGCTCTCTGTACCAAGGGCTTATAGCTCACAAGGGCTTCCCAGCCATCACCACCTTGAGACTCTTGGGGTCACTGACCCGGTTCACAGATGACAAAACTGAGGCCAAAAGGGAGCCATGATTGTTCAGAGCCACAGAGTCCAAGGCCAGGGGCATGGACCCATCCACATCCAATGCCAGCAGGAAGGACTCAGCA